GCTCTCCCTTCTACCACACTGCAGTGCCTCAGGAGAAGTAACTAAGTTTTCTTCTTCCCTGTTCCCACAGTTCTTAGTATAGTTCTTGAGACATGAGAAGGTCTCAGTAAACATATGAGTAATAAATGGATGAATGCAGCCAGGTGTGGTGGCTTATGCCTGTAATCCCAGCATTTTGGGAGGCCGAGGCAGGTGGATCACCTGAGTCCAGGAATTCAAGACTAGCCTGGCCAACATGGTGAAACCCCATCTCTACTAAAAATATAAAAATTAGCTGGGCGTGGCAGCAGGCATCTGTAATCCCAACTACTTGGGAGGCTGAGGTAGGAGATTCGCTTGAACCTGGGAGGTAGAGGTTGCAGTGAGCCAAGATCATGCCACTGCACTCCAACTTGGGCAATAGAGTGAGACTCCATCTCAAAATAATAATAATAATAATAATAATAAATGAATGGATGAATGCAAGAATGTACAACTCATCCATTGAACAATTATTTACTGAGCCCCTGTCATGTTCCGGATATTGCCAGGGTACTGGGAATGCAAAATGGCAAAGGAGACAGAAACAATCCTTTATGGAGTTTGGAGTCTAGAAAAAGGGACAGAAAAAAATGTAAACCAGCAAATGCAAGAATTTTAAATTTTGGTATGTGTTATGAAGGAAATTAATCTGTATCTGAAATAGAGGAAAAATAGAATGGATCTAGTTTTGATAAGTTAGGCAAGGCCTTTTTGAGAAATAGTGTGTCAGCTGAGAGCTGGAAAGATGAGAAGACATTAGCAAGATAATGTTCCAGTGAAATGGAACAATATGTGCAAAGGCCCTGAGGCAAGAACCGGCTGTTAAAAGAACTAGAATATTTAAAGTGTTGAAACAAGGCAAGGATGACAGGGGCGTGGTGATCAAGAGGGAGACTGGTAGAAAACATGGTCTAAGGTCAGCAGGAACCAAATATCCTAGGCCATGGGGAGAATTTTGTTGTTTGGGTCTGAATGCAGTCTAAAACCAGCTCATGTTTTATAAAGACTACTTGGGCCACTGTAAGCGAAGAGATTAGGGGTCTAGGAATGAGTGCAGAGAGATACATGTTAGAATATATTTGCTGTACTGCGGGTGAAAGATGATGAAAGCTTGGACTAGGCTGGCAGCAGTGCCGATTGGAGAAAGAGACTGGAGAGACATTTTAGAAGAGGACTCAACAACTTAGGGAATAACCTGCTAAAGGAAATGAGGAAGAGTCAACAATGACTCTCAGGTTTCTGACATGAACAATACACAGTACCATTTATTTAAAAGGAAAGGTTTTATTCTATTTAAAGGCCTAAGTACAGAAAGGTTTGGGGGATGTGGTAAAGATGAGGATGAAGAGTTCTGTTTTAAGTAGTAAAGTCTAAAGAAACCCGAGCAGCGATGTCAGGTGACTGGTTGGTATGTAAGTATGCAGCTTAGAGAAGAGCATTGGAAGGGCATTACTACTTAGTTGACCTTTAAAGCCATGGAAGAGAGTATATAGAGAAAAGTGGCCCAGAATCGAGCCCACAGACAATACACCAGTGATCTCAACTGTGATTCAAAAAGATCATTGAACAATAAATAAAATGAATTTTGGGAGGGAGAATGACTGAGAATCCATTACATTGGGTAAGCCAATGATAATGAAGGCCTAGACCAGAGTAAGTGAAAACTGATCTTTTTTCTCTTCTCATCGTCTACTCTTTCCCATGGCATTCTCACTTCACCTCCTAATGGCAGCCATTGCCTGTAGGTTTGTATTTCAGTCCTAATATTTCCACCTGCTTGCTGAACATCTCATTCTGAGCATCCCACCAGTACCTTAAACTGATAGATTCAAATCCAGATGATATCTCCCATCCACTTGAACTGCTCTTCCTATACAGGAGTATACTCCTACTTCTGTTGATGGTATCATGGGTCTTTTAGTGACCTAGAAGGGAAGAGGAGATTCCGTCACCGAGTCTTCTTCCCCAACCCCCTATTTAATGAGTAAGTTGCCAAATTATTTTCATTGTGCATCTTAAATATTATTTAATTGTGCTAAGTTTCCATTTGTAAAATATAGTAACTTTTTAAAGTATCCACTGTTACAGATGCTAATAATTTTTTTTTTAACCAGAGATTGTGTTACTGTTTCTAAAGGACTAAGTTTTCTTTAACTCTTTCTATCTTTGGACTAAGATAGAATATGAGAAAAAAGTTAAGACAGTCTGCAGAGAGATTTAGACTGGCAAAGCCATTCAACCTTAGCAGGAGGAACTACTTTGGTTCTATTTTTATCATCTCATTTAGGAATGAATCACTGAAAACAGAAATAGAAATAGAGATGGGTAAGAAAGACCTGTGCCATCTAATTCATCTCCTTGTTAGTGCAGGGAAATTTCCTTTGCCAAATGCTTGTGAGGTATTATGCAATAAAAGTCATAGATTATAACATTTCAATCATTTTGTAAGGTGACTATTTTTGGAGTTACTCTCAGCTTTGTTCTCTGAATTTCTTTTCATATATCCCTGTCATATGTGAAGTATATCTCTTTGTACACAGAAATGGCTGAGGATCACAGTGATGAATGCAGATTATTTTTCTGTACTGGTGTTGAGTCTATATGAAGTTGACTTCCCTGTTTATGATCCTTTTTGTGACCAGTGGCACACATTTATGAGGTCACTACGCAGAATGAACCATGGTCCAGCTTGTGACTTAGGATGGTTAAAAACTAACAGGAACCTTTAGATATCAAACATGTCCTTTGGCGCCTAATGGCACAAATGCATTATTCTAATTGGGTCAGTGGAATACTTAGTGTGGCTATAATACTCATTAAACTCTGTGGCTTTGCATTGGAAGTAAAGGGGTGGCATTTTGGAGGAGTATTGTTCTTAAGTTCTTTGACTATTGCTCAATATCTCTGTAATCTCATTTATCTCATAAAAATTTATATGTTCTTCTAAAAGATTTATTCTGTTGTGTTTCTTATTGTTGACTTTTTACATTTAGTTTTATCCTTTTAAAAATAAAACATTATTTCATCAGTAGTTATCATTCTTTCAGGTTCCGTGATATTTGCAAACCTCTTAGTTGGCAGTCTTCTATATGTGCTGTTAACATTCTGCATACCTCCTTTTCCACATCATCAATAAAGATACTAACATCACTAGATCTAGCGTTTTCTTTGTGCCTTCCCGCCAGCCATACCCCCTACTCCCAACTGAATGTACTCCATATAACATTATCCTTTGTTTATAGTGTTTGACATAGTTCTTAATCCAATTGAGTGTCTTCTTATTCAAGTCAATTATTTTGGGCAAGAGCAGCTCACATGAACCAACAAATAGATTGCAGTTTTGATCTGATTTCTGAAACTTCAATTATATAACTATAGTTATTTTAACAGTGTTTCTTTAAATTCTTTCTCAGCAACCCAGAGCATTCATAATTAAGTACTTATAAAAAGCAACAACATAGGAATTCTAGAATGGTTTGAGACCTCATTTTTCTTTTTTTCTTTTCTTTTTTTAAATTGAGACAATGTCTCACTTTGTTGCCCAGGCTAAAGTGTAGTCAAGCAATCTTGGCTCACTGCAACCTCTGTCTCCCATGTGCAAGTGATTCTCCTGCCTCAGCCTCCCGAGTAGCTGGGACTACAGACATGCACCTGGGTAATTTTTGTATTTTCAGTAGAGACGGCGTTTCGCCAGGTTGGTCAGGCTGGTCTCGAACTCCTGATCTCAAGTGATCCACCCACCTCAGCCTCCCAAAGTGCTGAGATTACAGGCATGCGTCACTGCACCCGGCCTGCAAGACCTCATTTTTTCATAGGCTACCCATTTCCTTTATAGAGTACTAATTTGGAATTTAAGCAGCTGCCACTTTATAATATTCACTTTTTCTCCATAGTTGAGGCTGTAAAACTAGAGATCAGGCAAAAGGCCTTGGTCAGCTGTGGATACTAAGAGTAGAAGGTCATGTCTGACCTGACTTTTCTTCTTACATGTTACAGAATTCTGGCAATTACTTAACAGCTGACCCAGAAATGTTTTTCCTAGAATATATAATAAAATTGTAAAGTAGCGATTTTAAGGTTTATGAGAAGTGTTAATGGACATGCTTGGATTTAGTGAAGCACACTAAAAGAAGAGTCCTTTGGTCTACAATGTACATGAACTCAGCATTGCTCCCTTCCCTTTACCATGGCCAAGCATGCCCCTGAGAAGATATCATTCTCGGTCTCATCTGGTGTTCTAGGGAACCTGAAAGCCACAGGGATCAGAACAGCTGCAATAAATAAAGCATCTATTCAATACAGTTTCATGCCAAATATTATTCAGCATTCTTTTGGCCTTGGTTTGATAGAAAACAGCATGGTGAACTTACTACCTCTCCTTTACTGCAGTGAGCCCTAAGTATGAAAGATTTAACAATTCATACCTGCATGTAAGCAAAATCACTATTTGCATTACTTTAAAATTATTAAGACAGTAACACAGACAACCAAAAAATGTAATAAAGTCTATTGTGATTATTGAAGAGGTACTGGAATTAACACTAGGCTTTTTTATTCTCCATAGGGAAAATAATAGAGAAGCATTTAGAATATGTGTCCATGCAAATGTGTGAGTTGGAGAGGGATTTTTAAAAAATAAGTGTTACATATGTGACAATATAAGGAAGAATATTATTAAGGAATTTCACAGAATTTTTATGTAAAGTTTTATCATACAGTATTATGATCTCAGGGATATTTTGTGATATTTACAGAGTCTTCTGAGGGTTCATTTATTCAGGTCATATTTTAAGGAAGAACTTATAAGATTCAGATCTAAAATATAATTCTGTAATATGCCCAACTGATCCCATTAAATCCAACTCGAAAAGAAGCGGTATAATGATGTGAAGAATTCCCATTCTTTGAGCTGTTACACCTCACTTGAAATGCATTCCTTCTGGATTAAAACAGCAATTTCTCTTTGTTTCTCTTTCCAGGCTGAGGTTCAACTATGCTACCTGGAAGCACAAAGAGATGCTGTTGAGCAGATGTCCCTCAAGCTGTACAGCGAGCAGTATACCAGCAGCAGCAAGCGAAAAGAAGAGTTTGCTGATATGTCAAAAGTTCATTCAGTGGGAAGCAATGGGTAGGGAACTATTCTTTTTGTTGTTTTATTCTCACTAATCTACTTTTTCAATGATTTTCCACTGGTAGGTGTTAGGAAGGTATTTCCTCTCTAGCTAACAGACAAGGAGAAGCCCAGTAGACTAGGCATTTATGTTATTTTCCATTTGTGCAAGAATTGAAGACTGGATTTCATCAGCCTCTGCCATCTAATCCAGAACTTTCTGACTCATTATTAATTTTTAAAATACAGCGTTGTGATTTTATAAGTGTTTTTGTGACTACAATGTGCCTTTAGTATTGATCTGTCTTCTTTATAAATTATTTTTTCCTTATGTTCGCTCTTTTTCAGATTTCACAATTTATTTTAAAGCCTATTTGAGGACTTTTAAACACCAGAACCACACTGGAAACTTGGTAGAACATAATTTTCCTGAATAATGTAGAAACGTAATAATTATTTAGAGACCATGGGTTAGCCACTTAGCTTCACATGAAGTCAATTGGAATAGGCTAGCTCTTGAATTGTCTATAGTATGTGAGAGGACCCAACACCTTCACTGACCCATCAACAATTTCATTCAGCCTGGGACATATGGCTGTATTTATATTATACTAACTATTCATACTATTGAACAGTTAAGTCACATATTTAGATAATTCCAAATGACTTTTAAAATGATGTGAACATTGTCTCTCTATATATGTATATGTATATACACATATATTTTTTTCTTTTTTTCCAGCCCAATTGTAATATTTAATAGGTGATTTTAGAGAGTAAAAGAGTAGTGATGAAATTGGATTATTTCATAGTATTAATAATTTGATAATAGTTATGCTCATAAAAATGGAAACAGTAACCTATTTTACTTTTAGACTTGTACCAGACAACACAAAGGAGAAATTATTCCCCAAAGTTACATTACGTGTTAATAGCATTATATAAACCTATGGGATGTAACTCTAGCCAAAATATTTCTTAAAGTGACAAGAGGAAAGAAGCCTTTTCAAGCACTTGTTTGCATTTATTTTTTTTAAGTGCTTATAGTTCTGACTGGAACTACAATCCTCATGTAAAGTTTTGGGATAAATTAAGTACACTGAAGAAAAATTCTTTCTTATTATAAAAACCCAGTGTCTAAGAATACAGGAAATAACTCCTGTATTTTTAGTCATTCAGAGTCGTAATTCTGTTTAGGAAATGAAAAGGGAATTTTCAAGTTTTCACATTTACCTATTTCTATAACTTGTTGCTCTATCAGTATATTTTAATACGTGAGACATGTTATATATGTAGTCAATTCATCTTACTTGATTCAGTAGTCATTTATTCACCAGAGGAAAAACATAGCAGCAAATAAGAAAGAAAAAGTTAAATCTCAAAGCATGAACAATAAACTGCTTTGAGGCCTTAATGTGCTTTAATTTCTCTAAATGCCTAAAGAGCCTCTGGTGTACATGCAAGCACAAACTTTAGGTCACATTTTAATGTTTTGTAAAAGCCCTGGGGATTGAGCAGCACCACGTGCTTCTGACCCCGGATTCCAGGGACCCAACCTGAGCACTCACTCTGGGCTCCACAAATCATAAATCTGCCCTGGGAATTGCTTAGTTAACAACAAGCATTGTTCTGTGAAGTGGGAGTAGGTGAACTTGCGTGATATCCTTTGTTTATGCTCCTTGGGGTGCTGAAGGCTGTGCATTGTGCAGAAATTTAAGAGTGTCCTGAAAGAAAGCCAGCTATTTAATACTAAGGACAAAAACCATATACTCCTTTCTATTTTCTGTTTACATACAGAAAAGCATTGTTTGAGAAATGTATGTGGGTGAGGTTATCTGGGGTGTCCTGCCCTTAAAACTCTCTGTTCCCACAGTCAAATCCTTAATTCTAAAGCCTTAAGAAAGTAGCTTTGTAAAATTATCTGCTCCAATGATACATAAACTTCATTAATCATTCTTTTTGTTACATAGAATGAACATTGTTTCCAATAAGTAATTGTGGGAATGGTGTGGGCTTTCAAGGATCTTCATTCCACATGCAGATATCCAATACACTAAAGAGAAAATTAAGTTGGTGATACAGTTCATGTCATTTTATTTCCTTCTCATGCCTACAAGCGTGCTAAAAAGATTATATGTACTAATGTAGTTGAAAAATGAATAAGACTACCCCAGGGAAGACTGAGCTGCTACATTGAATGGTGATCTTAAGTTTCTGAGAATTTTATGTAGCCAAAATAACTTTTAGAAATGAATTTATAACCACTTTAGCCTGACAAAAAGTTATATATCAAGGTGATATATCACAGCTTATATATTATACAACTCTGAATTGTGTGGTTAGCAGTTATTAATATATGTGGTAGGAGGATTTCCCTGAACATACATGAGGCTGTATGAGTTCTAGTAACAGAGTTTATTCACCTGTGGAAAACACTTGGCACTGGCTCCAGCATCCCAAAGTGGAACCATAGCTCCTGGAGGGACCTGCAATGTGTGAGTCTCTGGTGATAAACAACAGTAGCAAAAGTCAGTGCTTTTCAATTTAGGTGAAAGCACTTACCAGTTGCCTTTTTTCACCCAATAAATATTCATTGAGGGCCTACTATGTGCATGGCATGATACTCTGAGCATAGTTTATCAAGAACACTTACTTTCTGTATATTTTGTAAAGTGTAACCATCTCTTTTTCAGATACTTTTTCCTATTGAGAGGTTATCTGATTTTATTTTTCTAATGAATTTCAAAGAACCAGTTTAATTTGCTAAGTAGTATCATTCTTGATGTCAAAACTGAGTGTAGATTAAAAACCATGTCTTTTGTTCAGTCTATATAAAGGAGAGAACTGAGAGGCACGGATAGAAGGTTTAAAGTGGAGTTAAGACCTCGAGTCAGCACTCTGAGTCAAGAATGCAGGAGATAATCTATAAAGTCACTCTTTGCCCTCTCTGTAAGGATTTATCTGGATTCTTAATAAGCTTTTCCCCCAAATCTGGTGTTGTGCATATTCCATACTGTATGAAATTTGAATTAAGGTATCTTCCTACTATGGAGAAATGGAAGTCTTAAGTAGAGTTCATTAAAACCGCAAGGAAGTTTGGGGCAAAACATTGCAGAGCAGTTTTAAATCAAAACAAAATTAACTCATTCATTAATTTGACAAACTATTTTTTTTTTTTTTTTTTTTTTTTTTAGATAGGGTCTCATTCCCATTGTCCAGGCTGGATTGCAGTGGTGTGATCTTGGCTCACTGCAGCCACAACTTCCTTGGCTCAGGTGATTCTCCCACCTCAGCTTCCTGAGTCGATGGGACTCTGGGGTGGGGCACCATGCCCAGCTAATTTTTATATTTTTGGTGGAGACAAAGTTTCACTATGTTGCCCAGGCTGAATTTTACAAACATTTTAAAGTACTTTCCATATGTCAGGCTCTTGAAGTACAGATATTAAAATGGTGGAAATGAAATGGTTCCTACATTTCAGAAGCTCACAGTTTGGTAGAAGGAACCAGATCTCTGTAAACAGCGTGGAATAAAGCATTTTAAGTGTCAAGTTAGAAATCTGTGTAGGGAAGAGGGGAGGGCTCATTGAAGGCAGAGCTCAATTCTGACTGTGTCAAGTAGAATTAGAGCAGGTCAGGAAAGAGCAGAGAGAGAAGGCTCTGGAGATGGTTTTTGAAAGAGGGCTAGGTCAGCAGAAGTGCTTTTCAATTTAACCAGAAAAACACATATTGAGCACCTACAAAGACATACCACAGTCCTTGCCTTCATTGAATTTACAGTCTAGCAAGAGACTATGGCATGAAGCCGATACAGATCTGTGCAGTGAGAGAGAAGGGGAAACAGAGAATGCTAGGGAGCTTAGAACAAACAGGATGAGCTCTACAAAGCAGGGCTGCATCTCTCATATTCACTGCACTCTCTCCTGCATCTGGGGCAATGCCTGGCAAGTGCTAGGTACCCAACGAATGAATGGATGCATGAATGAATAAATAAAACTGGTCCAGGGCTAAAAGGGAGGAAAGGTCTGGAATCATCAGACTGCTTACTGTTTCATAGGACTGAAGAGGAGGATTGAAGTTAAAGGAGGTGTGAAAAATAAGGCTTTGGAAGAAGGTGAAGTCCAGATCCAGAAGTTAGTCGTTGAATTCATGGTTCTTAACCAAGATAGTGCATCAGGATGACCTGTGGAGCTTTTAAGCAGAAAAAAAGCCTGTCTGCCCCACCCTACTGAAAATTTCGATTCAGTAGGCAGAAGTAGATGATAGTGATTGGGTTCTAATGCTCACCAGCAGTTGAGAACCATTGCCTCAGTGGTTTTCAAAGTATGGTCTCTGGACCACCAGCAGCAGTATCTCCTAGGAATGTGTTAGAAATGTCATTCCTAGGTCCCACTTCAGACGTATTAAACTAGAAAGTCTAGGGGTGGAGACCAGCAATCTTTGTTTAACAAGCATCCCAGGTGATTCTGTTTTTTTCCTTTTGTTTTTTGTTTTTGTTTTTGAGACAAAGTCTTGCTCTGTTGCCTAGGCTGGAGTGTAGTGGCATGATCTTGGCTCACTGCAGCCTCCACCTCCTAGGTTCAAGTGATTCTTGTCCCTCAGTCTCTCAAGTGTCTGGGATTACAGGTGCATGCCACAACGCCCGGCGAATTTTTATATTTTTAGTAGAGACGGGGTTTCATCATGTTGCCCAAGCTAGTCTCGAACTCCTAACCTCAAGTGATTCACCCACCTCAGCTTTCCAAAGTGCTGAGGTTACAGGAGTGAGCCACCACACCCAGACCCTCCCAGGTGAATCTAATGCTGAAGTTTGAGAAGCACCACTTTAGACATTAAAGACTTTTGGGTTGACAGTTAACGGAGCACGTGGATACTAGATGGCAACTGAAGCCAGAAGGTATCAGTAAACCTCAGTGGCCCACAGGACGAAGAGCGTGAGGGAGAAGGAACCATTCTGATGCCCCAGATATTGGCTCCAAGAGAAAGAAAACAGGAATACTTGGATTCAAGTGATTTTGG